CATGGCCCAAAACTCAAAAGAGCAATACAAAGATTTTCTTATGCTCTACAAGCTAAAGCTATTGGTGCGTTCAGGCCCAATAGAGAGAAGGATGAACTGACGTATGCCATCAGGACTGCTGAACACAATGGCCGAACGAGAGGTCTAGGACAGAACATTTCTTGGGAGCATGGTTTCCCTAACGATAGAGATACCTACAGAAGCCTGCAGAGAAGGAAGGATGAGGAAGCAGCGTAGATCCGCAGGTTGGAGGAATATGTTCATGAGTCACGGGAGGCGTTGCTTCAAGCATAGGAGCGCGAAAAAGACATGCAAGCTAGAATGCATGAGGAAATCATAAAGCAAGTGCAAATAGCAATGAGTGCCCAAAGGCAGGCATCAGATCCAGGAGTCAACATTAATATTAGCCCCCCTGGTCAGTTGAAAAGTAGCTGCGCTTCCACGGAGTTGCCAAATCAAGATGACGCAATGCTATGTTTCCCCATGGATGACATCACTGCACCGTTTACATCATGTGAGCTACATATTCCAAAAGGGAATGCCACAATCATGGTGGCTCTCGGTGTTTTTTCTCCTCCAGATCCTACCAAGACACCAAGAATCCATGTGGTAATAATACCACCTAGATATGTTAGCGTCTCAGTGGATAGAGTTAACAAAGGTTTTAGTGATCTGGCTCTTAACATTCCAGGAGGTGATGGAGAGAAGACTCTAGGAGAAGTAGAGAAAACATTCATACTATGGCGCAAGCGCTACATCATTATTCCTGAGGTCTCTAGTCCACCACCGCTTCCTCAACTACCAGACAATAGGTGCGGACAAAAGTGAACGAAACAAATTTTTCACTAATTTTCTATTGACATGCATGATTAATAATAATAATTTCTTATACCTAATTATTCTTTTTTTAATCACACTGCAGAGCCTCCGCCAACCTAAGTCCAATTATTCAATCTCTAGATCATCATAGTGCTCCGAGCAATGATTATGCAACGCCGCCACCGCCGCCACCTCCAAGGACATCTCCAACGGCTGCCCCCGCCTTCCTTGATGACCAAGAAGCAGCTAGCTCCTAAGAGGTCCGCCCCGCAAACGAAGCCATTGGCCCACCAGCCGGCAAAGAAGAAAGCCTCCTCTAATCCAATTATTCCCCAAAAACTGTCTTACGAGAAAAGTGAAAAGGAATTAAATGTTGTACAAAAAGATGTGAACAGTTTCTTTGAAAAAGTAAGAAAGCAATGAGAAGCGAGGGAGAACCCAGAGAAACCATACTTTTACCTACCTCCAGATCTTCTAAGAAAGAAGGTGGACCAGAAAAAGCGAGAATCTCAAAAGACCCTGCTAAAATCGGACTACGACCGCTCTCTCACCAAGTCATTTGAGGCGGCGCAAAAAAAGACTAGAGCAGGGAAAGGTGTTGCACAACTCGGACAACAATCACAACAATCAGTCCCCTCTCTTGTCATTCGTAATAAATATGGTTCAAACTTAGACTTACTGGACGTCGATTTTGAGGACCTGGTTCAGTTTTATGAGGATATTGGTTTGGACCTTGCCCAAGTGCTCGCTGAAGGACCATCTGCTCCGAAAGTGGATCCTTAGAAGAAATTTGAACATGGAAAGAGTTTATACAACCCTGAGGCCTTAGGTAAACTGGGTACGCAAATGTACCAGCTAAATAAGTGGTACATGACGGCATGTGAACGGGGAGAGACCTTTGTTTCTGTCAGAGTTAGAAACCAACATTACTTCTGGGGCAATGACATTATATATGTCGAGTTTTTAGAATTACACCAACTATGCCACCTGGACTCTCTTGACAAAAGTCTCATTAGCTGCTATTGTCTGTAAGTGTGATTATTTTCTATTATTAAAGTGTATATATATAAAGCTACATGTATATATATAAATTATATATCCTCACACTATATTTTTATATATGTAGATATGAGATGACAGAACTCAGTAAGAGAAAGGATAATGATGTTGGTTTCGTTGATCCAAATGTCTTATTCAAACACCCTAATCCCCCGCCTCAATGGAAAGCTGAACTCGAGAAAAATCTCATGAGGTTCTTAGTGAACCAACAAAACAAGGACATACTCTTCCCCTACAACTTCAAGTGAGTGTTAAATAATTAATATCGATCATATGGACATTTATTCAATTATTTGCTTACTAGCTAAGCTATCTCTTATATATATATATATATATATATATATATATGTTGACTCTAGTTAATGTCGATCATATTTATGTATAAAAACGTATGCAACAATCATTGGATATTGATGGTCATCGATATGGCCAATAGTCGGTTGAGCATCATAGACTCGTTAAGAAAAGAACAAACAGAGTATCAAGACATGATAGATATTATTCAAGGGTAATTTGGTCTCTCTAGCAACTATATATACCCCGATCTCTTAACTGCAACAATTATTAAAGGCCAAATTAATTTTTTATTTTATTGGGCGCGGTGTTTGGAAAAGTTTCATTGAGAAACACCACATGAAACATTGCAAAGCGCCACTGGATGTAATCGCACACAAAGTAAGTACTAGCTACATTTATATATATATATATAATTCAATTAACACCATGCATGCTTTCAATTCACCGGATCTTTTTTCTCATAAAAGTGGGTTCTGAGGCAAGAACAGGGGACCAACTACTGTGGATACTATGTTTGTGAGTTCATCATGGCGTACTAAAAAAGAACTCCTGAAGAGATCCTCAAAGTATGTTATATAAATATATTCATATATTCACAATTTCTTTTATTGCTCATATATATAAGTAATCATGTGACCAACATATATATATATATATATTAATACTTTTCCTTTAACTTTTATTGAAGACTCTATTGTTGAAGGAAAAAGTCATACGACGTGACCAACTGAAAGCAATTCAAGAGACCATAGCAGGATTTCTTAATGACCAGGTCTTAAACCCCGCCGGTGAGTTCTACAATGACATGAACGAAACATGAAAGCCAAACCAGATAGAGTGAATTTGTTATCCCACAATATACATATTATACAATGCAAGCTTTATTTATAATATATATATATACATATTATATGAACATAAAATAACATACAATATATGTATATGCATATAATATATATGTTAGTTTCATACTTTAGTTTGTACAAAATGTTCGAACATTATAAGCGTGTAGAATACATATATTATTAGCAGCGTAGAATGCGTATTCGAAAACCTATTCGAAAACCAAAACGAATCATCAATTCAAAATAGAAATAAAAAAAAGAAAAAAACCTTTAGTCCCGGTTGGTAATACCAACCTGACTAAAGGGCCCCACATGGCCAGGCCGGGAGGCCTCTTTAGCACCGGTTGGTATTATCAACCGAGACTAAAGGTGGGCGAGAAACCGAGACTAAAGAAGAGGCCCTTTAGTCCCGGATTCGTGCTCCTAGTTGGGAAACCGGGACTGAAGGAGTTTCCCAACCAGGAGTACAGCTTATTTTTGTACAAGTGATATAAGACACGAGTTCGTCGGACTAGCCTGCAATCAATTACACGTAAATAGATAGAGGCCTATACAATCTCGTTACCCCTCTTCTACTGACCCATTCTCCTCAATCATCTCCTGTCGGTGTTTTATAAACCAAACTAGTAAATTTATACAATTGTCGCTGCTTAAGAAGTTAATGGTAGCATCCAAGACATGAGGATAATTGCAGTTTGGGCTAGCGAGTCTGGCATCGACGACTTGCACCCCGGTCGGCTCTTCAACAGTTATGGGTACTGATCTGTTTTCTTTACGTTTTCTTTTGGTTTGTGCAGTGATACAACATGTCAAGTCGTGGAGCGGTGAAGGTAGTAGTAATGGTTTGTGATGTAAAATAAGAACTTTTGAGTTGTGTTCGGCTCTTCAACAGCTGTGGTACTGATCTGTTTTCTTTACTTTTCCTTTTTGTTTGTGCAGTGATATAGCATGTCAAGTCGTGGAGCGGTGGAGGTAGTAGTAATGGTTTGTGATGTAAAATATGAACTTTTGAGTTGTGATTCATGACTATGCAACGTGGTTTTATAGATTTATATATACACTAAATTGTTATTTTCTAAATTCATAATAATGTATTTTTGTTCTATTGTGGCAGACCTGATTGACGCCCGAAACCCAACAGGTGACCTGCGGGTGCGGGTGTGATTTCTTACCCACGGGTCTCATCGTGGGCGGATGCAGCTACCTGTTGCAGGTCTCATCGTGGACGGGTTTATGCCCCACCCGCATCTCACCTGACCCGTTTCCATCCCTACCGCTGACAGCGAGTTGGCGGACTCAGGGTGCTTGTGCTCCTACAATAATGACATTTCTATGAGGAGGATGCTCGTGGAGGAACTTCTATATGACTCGGGGTGGTGTGTACTATTGTCACCATGGAGGGAGGATTAGAGCTGACTGGAAGTGTGAGCGCTGTGAAATTCATGTAAGTCATTGCCTTTTGTACAACAAATCGCTTGATCTTATTTCGACTATGGACTCCGTCGTAGTTGGGAAAACGAAAATGTCTCAGACGGAGGAACCGTAATTTCAGGCTTGTAGCCAAATGGAGGGAGTATATTTTTTGTGGGTTCTCAAAGAAAGCAATGAAACTCGATATTTAACTGTAGTAGCACATAGATAGTTTAAAAATAAAAATTATAGTATATTTATGTCAAACAATTATGATTGTATTTTTATTAAATTACATTTAGTTTTTTCCCGTTGCAACGCATGAGCATATTTGCTAGTTAACTGAAATTTGGCGACATCTCAATCTCATTCACGATCTGAAATATACCAGGAAAGAAAGAAATAGCTCAATCTCACTGTCACCCAAAATGTGGGATCGATATGATCCAAGGTTAATTTTGTCATTCCGTCATCCCGGACTTTTCTTCCGCTAGCAGCTATAAATACGCATGCATCCTCCCTAACTCCTCCACACTACAACCATACGTAGAACAACAACAAGCATCATCCATGGCGTCCGGAGCTGCAGCTTCCTCAGTCCTCAGCCTGCTCCTCCTCGCCGCCTTCGCAGGCAGCGCGAGAGCAGCCACCTTCACCATCACCAACAACTGCGGCTCGACGGTGTGGCCGGCGCCACGCCCGTGGGCGGCGGCACGCAGCTGGACCCGGGGCAGACGTGGACCGTGGACGTGCCGGCGGGGACCCAGTCCGGCAGGGTGTGGGGCCGCACGGGGTGCTCCTTCAACGGCTGCAGCGGGAGCTGCCAGACGGGCGACTGCTGCGTCGCGCTCTCCTGCATGCTGTCCGGGCAGCCTCCCATGACGCTGGCCGAGTTCACCATCGGCGGCAGCCAGGACTTCTACGACATCTCGGTGATCGATGGATACAACCTGCCCATGCTCTTTTCCTGCAGCACCGGCGTGACGCTCAACTGCGGCGGGTCTAGCTGCCCAGATGCCTACCTGTTTCCCGCCGACAACACGAAGACACATGCTTGCAGCGGCAGCAGCAACTACCAGGTCACCTTCTGCCCTTGAGGAGGCAGCAGTGGTTGAACGATGCATATGCATGGCGTACCTAGTGCTGCTATGTAGTATGAGATACATGTTATTTGTCCTAGTGGAAAATGAATAAAAAATTAGATGAATAAGACGATGTCGTGAAAAGTCGTCCACGCGTGCATTGATGTTCACGCTTATGTAACTTTAATTTATACTTTCAAAACATGGATGATGTTTGTGTTTATCTGTTTGTCAAGTAGGAGCGTTCGTTAAACCATATATGCGTGACATTTATATGGTGATGTTTGTGCTTTAGCCTCTTTTTTATTAACTAATGAGCAGGGGCAGATTTGCACCCAGGGCTAGGAACAAGATCCTCTAACTTCGGCCTCAGTGACTGCAGAGTACAGTCAAAGACGGATCGCGTCCGCTGAGGATCCAACGCCAGCCTTATGTTGGGGATACCGGCTTACAAGGCAAGCAATGTGCCAAAGCACACTGAAGCACAAAAATCTGCCTCAAAATTAATACACCCTTAGATGATCATGAAAGATTATGGTTTTGGCTGAGTTCTGACTGACCATTGGGTAGAAGGGGCATCATACTATATATCTATACTCCTGCTTTTAATATTACTAGCACGCAACTATATATGCTCATACATTGTAATTGGTCGTACGTACAACTTACTTTGCGGTTATCTAGACTCGGCCTCACCAAAGATCGATACGAGTTACTCTCTCTCGCTTTAAAAATTAATTGTAAGTCGATCTGTTATTTTCTAAACGCATAGTTTTAGTATGTAACTGCATATATTTGAAAGGTGCATATATGTAATCTAGGTACATATATGTACCCAAAAAGCAAAAAATACATAATATATTTGAAATTGACGGAGGACAATTTATTATTGGGTTTAATTAGACTAGGAGTAACCTTATTTCCATTGTATCAAATAATTCCAAAACATATAATAAAATGCTGGGTGCAACGAAGGACTAATCTTGCATGCAAAATTTAATTTACCGAAGATTGACTATGATTAAACGAGTGGCTATTTTGTACTACATGTGTGAGGTTTAGGGCAGCCTAACTCACTATCCCAGACTACTTTTTCCCTCACGGTGTGGAGCACGTACTCCCGTCGGCTGCCAACCTGGGTCAGGGACGCTACACCTTCCCTCAAGAGGCCTATACCGTCAGGGACGGTGCGTAGGTCCCCGAAAACTCTATTCTATAAGCATCAACCAAAGACTAAGCAAACAGATTGTATGGGTATTACTAATGCTTCAAAACCAAAAAAATGTGCCGATATAGGAATTGGGCTTGGTAAATAAGTTTTTGGTGTCAAGAGGATATTGAAAAATATTTGGTGCAACCCAATTCAAGCAAAAAGCAAAGAAATGAAGGAGATGCCACCTGCCCCTCCCAAACCGGCCTGCCTGGGTTCACTACCCAGAACCGGCCACACCAGTTCCCAAACAGGCCGGTTTGCCTGTTTTGGCCCTAGCAGGCCCCTGTGCCATCCCGAGGAAATCAGTCCGGCCATTTTTTCTACCTATTCCGAGCCGAGTTGGTTTCGAATTCGATTGGATCTATTTTGGATGTGGGAAACTTAAAGAACACATTTTAGACTCATTTCCTACTGGGATAAGACCACCATCCTCTATATAAACAAGAGGATCACAACCAATTGAGTATTCCAACTTCTAGTCATAAAAAAAACATACACATATACCCCCTTTTGTCCTACTTTCTCTCTACCTTGTTGTTCGTCATGTCTCCCAGCATGATTTGGTGGCGATCTAGGTGGCCTTGCCGACACTAGAGCAACCTCCACGCGCTTCTGCCCGATGGGTCTTCACGGCAGGTGTTTGGAAGTCTACTACGCGAAGAACGGGCTCAACATCCACTACAAGAAATGTATGGTTTCTCGACATTCTAGTTATGTCACAATATATGGAATTTGTGTCACAATTTAAGATTTATGACATCTAGTTGACGAAAATTGAAACATATATAAAAAAATCACCGGCAAAAATTTATTATTTGATGTCTTTATTTATAATGTCATATGTATATGACGTTGAATTTTAGTGTCATATAGGTTTATGACATTGGTTTGTTGTCACAAGTCCTTGCACCATGCTACGTAGGCAGCTAACACGGTGCTGACTTGGTAGGGCAAAAAAATGTCATAAAATTAAAACAAGGCCTGTTAAGCCCATGTGGTTAGCAGGATTATAGCAGACCCAAAAAACATAGCCCACTTGTTTTGTACTTTTCGGCTCATTTAGCTTTGTAATATTTTTATTTTCAGCCCATTTTATTTGATAACAATGAGCTCACATGATTTTTTATCAGCCCAGCCCACACAGGCCACACATTAGATTAACAGCCCGCACAATCTTTTTTCTGACCCGTTTTTTTGGGCCCATTTCAATATACACATAGCACAAAGATTAGCCCAGCCCATTCAACAGCACATAGAGGCTCAAGTGAATTCATGAATATATCAAATCAACCAGTTTAAATACATTGATTTCTATAAATGACCACATTATAATGACCAAACTAGTAACGTATCAATGACAATAAACTATTAGCACCACTTCCTATAATGAACAACCGCAGTAACTTCCATTGTTTGTAGCGTTGAAAAGCCACAGGTGCTTTAGCCCAAAAGCTCCTTTTGCTTTAGTACAAACTCAAAGCAGCTCACCCTCTGCTTTTAGCTGCATTTAGGTCTAAAAATTACCCACCTGTCATTGATTATGAACATACCGTTTTGTTTTGTTTTTTTTTCTTCTGTTCCCGTCTGCAGAGGAAAGGGAGAAGTCGCGTCCGCTGTTGCGACTCGCGGCTTCAGCGGCGACGGACCTGCCCCGGCGCGCTTGCGCGGCTCGATCTGGCGATCCCCCCTCGCCACTCCGGCGAGTCCCCTCCCCATTCCGGCGAGCGAGGCCTTCGGACGCCGGCCTCCCCACATCCAGGGAGCCCCTTTCCCTCCCGGACGCGAGCAGCAGCAGAGGAAGCAGGCCCCGGCAGACGCGCTCCACTCTGTGACCTACTCTAGCTCTAGCAGCGGATGCGAGCTCCGCCCTCCCCTTCAACCACGGATGCGAGCTCCGCCGTCCCCATCGGCTCCTGCGCCGGTGGCATCACCTGCTCCGAGCGCAGCAATCCACACGCACGGCAGCAATCCGCAAGACTCCGCTGCTGCCGCACGCATGGAAGCACCCTCCTCTCCCACCGCAAGACTCTGCTTGCTCTATAATCTCGTCTAATGGATGAGCAAGGCGACAGGCGACAGTGCCACACTCACGTCCCCTTGCCATTTTCCTATAGAAAAATAAAAGAAGAAATACACTTGGAATACACATATACCCACCCTATACATAAAAGAAGCGTGAACCCTACATCTCAATTTGTACGCTGTAGGGAATCGTTTAGGGTCTCCTCAAAACTTTGATGGATGAAAAACTAAGAAAAATTGTTTTTCCTTTCCAAATAGTCATTTACATGTATTGACATAAAAATGTGGCAATGTGATCAACACGCAGTAAGCCGAAAGAATCCGCTTGACTTCAAACATATGACCGGTCGGCTTCGAGGCCGGAGGCGTGCCAGTCAATTTTACCCCACAATTGACAAGAAGAAGATAATCAATAGTTTAAGGTGGAGGTGTTGCACCAGACAGTTCCAAATATACAGCTTTAAAAGCCATTAAATAAGGCGATCGACTAAATAGTCGATATCCAGCATATCCATGAAAGGAAGATCTTCAAATCAAGGATGATCGGCAAATATTAAATGATAATGACGTGAATCAAAATAACCGATGCTCATGGATCATGACAGATTTATGGTGACTGATTAATGGAGACAAAAACAAGTACAATACACTCAATTATAAAGATCAATGATTTTATCTTTGAAAGCACAAGCTATCGGCTAAACAGCCAATTCAGATTAAAAGAGAGACTATAACATGTATGCAATCAACTATCTAATAAGAATAATTTTGTAAACAAACTAGATCTAATCTATTACCATCATCATTGAGGTTCAACCGGATCGATACAGCTACGGTAACAACAATAAACTAAAACCAAAAAGCTTATAGATCTATCCATATTTTCGATAGTTTTCTGGTACAAGCTATAGATGTGAAAGCATTCGCAATCGACTAAAATAGCCGATTTTAAACATAGTAAACAAACAAAGCAGATGTCTTAACCATAAACAAACTCATTAATTAATAAATCCCAATCTAAAGTTCCACCAGTGAGGTTCGACTGGATCGATGCAGCTATGGTAATAACGATAAATCGAACTTTATCAATTAATGAATCTATCTAAAATTAATTCATGCCTTTGAAAGTGTACTATGTATGGTTCAAATCGAGACAAAACAGCCGATCTTAATGAGTCATCAAATTTAAGATCTGATCGTGACAAAACCAAAAGACGACCAATTGACATGATATGATGCTGATAATAAAGTCGTGATGGTACTCACAGACAAGCCGGAGGTCGATCAACCGATGCAGCTCTGCTTGTTGAAGGACTCGCCAAAATCTACATTACTCCTACTCTCCTAAGGGTTGGCGTAAAGACGAAAAAGTAAAGACTGATTTTGATTGATGTGTGGATAGATTACAATTGGCCACCACCCTTTATATTTATAGGGGTGCCTGGTGTATGGCAAGGTCGCTAACTATACAAGAGTCCTATACATGTGCGTGCTAAATTAATTATCTCGTACATGAAGCCTAATCAAATATTAATAGATTCGACCAACAACTCTGATAACCTTCCGTGATCTTCTCCTTTGTTGCCTTCTCCCACGTGAACTCCAGCACAAACAAAAAAATGTATAATCTCCATGCAGCACATTACTCATGCAGGACCAATCATACACTACTAGAAACTCGAATATTTCTGTGTGCGCAAAAACCCACGGAAAAATTTGAATACCCACGGAAAATATTTTTCTCACGGTGTACCTGTCAGAAAATAACACACATAAATAA